ACACCACCGTACATGCCGTTGCGACGAATGCAGCTGCCGTGCCGTTTAAGGGGCGCTGCTTTGCTTGCAATAGGCCGGGCCATCGCAAGAGTGAATGCCAAGAGGAGCTAAGGCGCCGCGGAGTAGAGCAGGGGAGGGAGTCTCCAAGGCAGGGAAACGCCAGCAGTCAGTAGGAATCAGGCCAACTACTGACGAGACTGCCTGCTCGCCCAACCCCACTGACCCTCACCAAGTCACACTACCGATTCATGCTATCGATCGGACTCGGACGAATAAGGAGGGTACACCGACGAATTGCCCAGTACCAATCCACGGGAAAATACAGGGAGCAGCAGTGAAGATTTTTATCGACGGAGGAGCAAGTCACAGTTTAGTTAATACGGCAACCGCACGAAAACTGCAACTGACACTTAGTCGTTGTTTACCTGAGATAGACGCACGCTTAGTCGACGGCACGCCACTAGCCATACGGGAAAAGGTGGAGAGAGTCAAAGTCTGCTGCGGGGGGAATTTCAGGTTTACACAGGAAATGCCCGCAACGACACTAGATGGGCACGATATTTTACTAGGACGTGATTGGCTACGACGGTATAACCTGCGAATTGACTGGACGACGGGTAGCTGCACGGTGTGAAATAGCGGTAACTGGGTCGAGCTACCTCGCTAGCAGTCGCCCGAGTCTTCAACGGTACACGTCAATGCCGTCACCATGAAACGGGCTGTCGTTGCTGGAGCTGACGTGTACGCAGTAGACATTACAGTAGTAGAGGGAGCAGAGCAGCCGAGTGATTTCAAGAAACTGCTGGCAGCGGTACCGCCCAAACTACAGGAACTGTTGAAACGATACCCCGGTATTTTTCCTGACGACTTACCGGAAGGGCTGCCACCTCAGCGAGCACATGACCACCGAATAGAATTAGAACCGGGGGCACAACCAACTGTACAGCGCTAGTTCGGACTGACACAGCCCGAGCTCGACGAACTGGGGAAGTAGTTAGATTACTTGTTAGAGAAGAAATTCATCCGACCGAGCTCGTCACCGTTCGCCGCACCGATACTGTTCACGCCAAAAAAAGACGGAGGGTTTCGCATGTGCATCGATTACCGAGCGCTTAACAGGGCTACAGTCAAGTCGCAGTACCCCGTTCCCCGCGCCGACGAACTGATCGACCAACTGCGAATAGCACGGGTTTTTCCGAAAATAGATTTACGGGGAGGTTACCATCAGATTAGGGTCGAACCATCGGACTGCGCCAAAACAGCTTTTCGGACTAGATACGGGTCATTCGAGTACACCGTGATGCCTTTCGGGCTGACCAACGCACCAGCGACCTTTCAGATGACCATGAACGAGGCGTTTAGGCCACTTTTAGATAAATGCGTGATAGTTTACCTCGACGACATCCTCGTCAACAGTCGCGAGAAGCAGCAGCACTTAGCAGATCTGGAAGCAGTATTAAGATTTTAGCCGAGCATCGGCTACTGACAAACGGTTCCAAGTGCGAGTTCTTTCAGGACAGGTTAGAGTTTTTGGGGCATGTTATTTCGGAGGCTGGGGTCGAAATTGACCCAAAGAAGTTAGACACGGTGAAAGCATGGCGCCCCCCCACGAATATCACGGAACTAAAGAGCTTTTTGGGGTTCGTAAACTACGTGCGTCGGTTCGTCCCCGACATGGCACGGTTAACGGCGCCGCTGACGGACTTATTACGGAAGGGGGTCGCTTTTACGTGGGGGGAGAAAGAGCATGCTGCCTTCTCTACCCTGAAAAATGTTCTTTGTTCACCGCCCGTCCTGCGCATCGCTGACCCACACCGCCCATTCGAAGTAGTTACCGACGCAAGCGACATCGCCATCAGAGCCGTACTTCTACAGGTTTTCGGCAACGGCGTACAACCCATCCCATACGAGTCACGAAAACTGCATCCGCCCGAGAAAAATTACCTGATACACGACCGCGAAATGCTTGCGATCGTGCACGCGTTCAAAGTGTGGCGCTGTTACTTGACCGGCGCGGACGTGACAGTATGGACAGACCATAAATCACTACAGTACCTTCGCGCACAGCCACACCTCAACCCACGACAAATTCGCTGGCTCGATTTTCTCGAGTCCAATTTTCACTACACGGTCACCTACAAAAAAGGAGCCTCGAACATCGCCGACGTACTGACCCGCCTCACTGCCCAGATCCAAGCAATATTACTCGCCCAGACCAGTCCCCTACTGACAGACCTATTTACCCACGGGTACCAAACGGATCCATTCTTCACAGGAGGAAATTCGCAGCAGTTCGCAGCAGCAAGGGGAGTCTATTACGTAAAAGCCGGAACCGACCGCATCTGGGTGCCTGGGTATACACTGCTACGAGAATTACTGTTACAGGAGGCACACGACGCAGTTACCTCGGGGCATTTCGGGGTAGAAAAGACTCGGCAGCAACTGCAGCGGTATTATTACTGGCCCGAAATGTTGACCGATGTACAACGACACGTGGCATCGTGTCCCACTTGCCAGCGCATGAAATCATCACGGCAGCGGCCGGCAGGGCAGTTGCAGCCGATACGACCCCCAGAGCGTGCTTGGCAGCAGGCGACGATGGACTTCGTCACGGGGTTATCGGCCGGGGCGAGTCGGAACGACGCGATCCTGGTCGTCGTCGATCGACTGACGAAAATGGCACATTTCGCAACCTGCAAAAAATCAATCACAGCCGAAGAAACGCACGCCTCTTCATCTCCACCGTCGTTCGACTGCACGGGATACCAGCAGCAATAATCAGCGACCGCAACACGAAATTCACCAGCAACTTCTGGCGGAACCTATGGCAGCAGTTCGGCACGCGACTGCAATTCAGCTCATCATACCACCCCGAAACTAATGGACAGACTAAATGGACAAACCAAAACATGGAGCAACTCATCCGAGCCACGTGCGACGACCCAATCACATGGGAACAACATCTGCCACTCATTGAATTCGCATACAACAACTCACCGTCCGCCGCGACCCAACAGTCACCGTTTTACCTGAACTTCGGACAAGACCCGACAGTACCTATGACCCCGAATCCCGACAAACCAGTGCCACGAGCACAACAGTTCGCCGAAATATTACAAGCAGCACGGACTCAGGCAGCAGACCCAATAAAAAAATCCAACATCACCGCTAAACGTAATGCCGACCGCCACCGCCGACCTGTCACTTACCAACCTGACGACCTAGTTTTACTCGACACTCAGAACCTCCGACTGCCCATCACCCAAAAACTCCGCCCCCGATATTGCGGGCCATTTCGCATTAGCCACATGATTACGTCCGTCACCGCCCACCTCCTCCTCCCCGCTGACTGGTACGTCTGCCCCTCATTCCACGTCAGCCTGCTTCGCCCTTACGTTCCGTCCACAAGCCAATTGCTACGCAACCGGCCCGCCAGCATGACACGACCGCGGACTGAACCAATCGTCAACCCCGAGAAAATTCTGAGCCAAAGAGTTCGTGACCCTCGAGGAGCCCGAAGGATCGAGTTCCTGATCCGCTGGAAAGACCGTACACCCACCGAAGACAATTGGGTTCCCCTGGACAGAATCGAAAACCACCCCGTCCTCACCGAGTATCTGCGCAGCCGAAACTTCAGGGATGTGCACGCACTTTCGTAAAGGAGGACCTCCTTAGGGGGGGGGGGGGGGGGTAGTGTAAGGAAAATTCCTTTTCTTTACTTCGCGTCCCCGCTCAGCGCGTACACTACTGTAGCACCACAGTCAGCACCGTTACCACTCGCAACCATCGCATCGACAATCATCCCGCCACCTTCGCACGTCACACCCCGACCTCACGGCTCGGCGGGTAACCCGCGCTCCAGGCCTCCGCTTCGACATTTTCCCAAACCGCAGTCCCAGGCCCGTCTCGCGACAACCACAGTCCATTACCGTTACCACTGTAGTTTCGCTATATATTCTTCGCTCATGCCTTCGCTCATTGTACTCTTGCTTCGATAGTGCAATTCTCGCTCGCTCACTCAATTGCACTCGTAACAATCGGACAATCATGAAAGCCTAGTGGGCCGTCTGATGGATCCTGGCAAGAATCCCAGTCTAATTGAATGGTATCACAGAGCTCGCAATCTCAAATGTATTATAATATAACGGGGGTACAAACTCATCGTGCAGTTTTTTCGGGGAAACGTGGTTGGCGGTTTGCAACTTTAAGTTGCTTCAGTTTGGCCGAAGGGTGAGGGTGATGGGACAATGGTCACTTCCAAGAAACCCTGCACTTGAGAGAAGGTAGCACATTGAGAAAGGAGAGCCCTGGTGAATTATGAAATCCCTTGTTTGTTATAAGTAACCACAAACCTACAGCAACTTTAGAATAGATACGCACCCCCCACGCGCCCCATCACTCCCTGCCATCTCCCCCCCTCCCCCCCCCCCCCTTTCCCTTCCACACCCCCCTACTCACCCTCGCCTTTCCCTTTCACATCACATGCCACCACTCGTTGGACAAGCAGAACCCGAGGTGACTTCTGAGACCACTCGAAAGCTGACTTCTGAGTTGAGCCAAAAGGTGACATTAGGGTAGACTCGAATCGCACACTCACCCTAATTCCCTTTCCCGTGCACATCCCGTGCCACCACTCGTTGGACAGGCAGAAGCAGTCAACCCCCCTGCGCTTGTCTTGGTGGGTCGAGCAGAAAATCAGCCCCCTACCTACCCTCCATCCATACCCACCGTCCCCTTCGAACCCTCGCCCATGCATATCACATGCCGCACTCAGGGCAGAAGGTCGCTGGATAAAAGAAAGTAGTCAACTCGCATTCCGAGGCGCCTAAAAGACTGCGTTCCCCTTCCCCCCTTCACCCCTCCCAACCCTCCATCCATGCTCACCGTCCCCTTCGAACCCTCGCCCATGTAAATCACATGCTGCCACTCGCGGCAGAAGGTTGTTGGACACACAGAAGTAGTCAACCCGCATGGGCTTGCCTTTCGAGTGACGTCAACAATCAGCCCACTCCCCTGCATCCATACTCACCCTCACCCTCGAAACCTTGCCCGTGAATGTCACATGCAGCCACTCGGGGCAGAAGGTTGTTAGACACACAGAAGTAGTCAACCCGCATGCGCTTGCCTCGGTACCTGGCATGGGCCAGCACGGGGGGGAGGGGAAGAGGGCGGCCAGTTAGAGTGCATCGGACACACAGAAGTAGTCAACCCGCATGCGCCTGCCCCGGTACCTGCCATAGCATGGCATGTCAGCACAACATACGGGCCAGTATGGGGGGGAGCGGGAAGAGGGCTGCCAATTGGTTTGGAGTACATCTGACGCACAGAATTAGTGAACCCGCATGCGCTTGCCTCGGCACGTGCCGTGGCATGGCATGTCAGCACAGCATACGGGCGAGCATGAGAGGATTGGAATGATGTGCACCTGACGCAAGATTAGCCTCACGATTCAACCTGCATGTGCACACGTGTGTGTGTGTGTGTGTGTGTGTGTGTGTGTGTGTGTGTGTGTGTGTGTGTGTGTGCGTGTGTGTGTGCGCGCGCGCGCGTGTGTGTGTGTGCGTGTGTGTGTGGGGGCATGGCACCTTATACTCCTCACACACACGGGGTCGACTCAAAACAACCGGCTTCACAAGGTGTGGCAACCCCGTGACTCAGGGGGCAAAACATGCTTCCACACGGGGTTGCCACACCTTGTGAAGCCTATTTTGAGTCGACTCAAAAGAGGGTGCAAGTTTTGAGTCGACTCAAAAGAGGGTGCAAGTTTTGAATCGACTCAAAACACACCATGTGAAGCCTGCCTGCATGTCCTTTTCAGGGTGCAGATGACGATATGCATAATACAGACCACTGCTGCTGCTGTGTATGTACCTGTACGTACACATGAGCCCCAACCTTCTCTCTGCTCACATACCTTCTCTCTGCGCACATACCTTCTGCTCACATAACTCCCCACAGGGTTGCCACTCCACATGAAGCCTGCCTGCATGTCTCTCCCTGTTGGGGTGCAAGTGGCGAGATATGCATAATACAGACCACTGCTGCTGCTGTGTGTGCTGTACGTGTACTGTATTTGCATGTGATTCCCAACCTTCTCTCTGCTCACATACCTCCCCACAGGGTTGCCACTCCACGTGAAGCCTGCCTGCATGTCCTTGCTGGGGTGCATGTGGCGATACGCGTCTGTCAAGCCGGCCCTGACGGGGGGAGAAGAGACGAGAGGAGGATGAGACGAGGATGAGATGAGGATGAGATGAGGATGAGATGAGGATGAGATGAGGATGAGATGAGGATGAGATGAGGATGAGATGAGGATGAGAGGACGTGCATTGCATGATGTTACCACACCACGTGGAGCCCGCTTGCATGTCCCTGATTGGGTGCATAGGCCAGCCCTGGTCAGGTGAGGAGGAGAGGAGGAGGAGAGGAGGAGGAGACGAAAAAATAGGAGGAACAGAGGAAGGGAGAAGAGGACTGGAAGTTATGGGGGGGGCAGGTAGCACAAGGAATACAGTCAAGGGGTTAGACCAAGAGAGGACTTCCGATCATTCCCTTCTCCTCTAAACAGAGACGCCCCCTTCCACTCCCTTTCTCACCCTCTCCCTCCCGCTTCCTTCCGACCTGCACCAACTGACACACTTCCTCTACCACACACACACGCACACCTTTTCAGAGTCTCGGCGAATCTCATCCGCTCGTTGAGAGAGAACCCTGGCTGCCCCCGATCCTGCGGCCCACACGCATCAAGAGGCAGGAGGGAAGAAACAGTGAGTTCGGGAGAAGGGATGCGGGCTTTCCAGAAACTTGCAAACCATCCCATCAGCAAAAGCTAAGACCAGGATAATATATATATATATACATATATATGTATATATATATATATTATCCTGGTCTTAGTCTATCACAATGCTAGGCGTCTACTGAGTCTCACCCCGGGATCAGTGGCCGGCTCGCCATTGGTCGCCGAACGGAAGAACTCAGGGTCGCTGACGTCATTGTCTGTTGGACTGGTGTTGGGAGGGGAGAAGGAAGGGCGGTGGGACGGTAGCGGGAGAGCGGTCAACGTACGAGAAATCTTTAGAGTGACTCGCATATGAGAGGATGAAAGTGGGAAAGAGGGTGAACCATTACAAAAGAGACAACCCCCCCTCCCCCCCCCCCCCCCCCGGATATTGAGGTGATTTTTGAGAGGCCTCAAAAACCACCCCATTACGGAAGAGACAACCCCCCCCCCCCCCCCCCCCCCCAAAACAAAAAGGATTATTTGATATTGCAAAGGCTTTGTTTTCCCTCGAGGAAAAGGAAAGGAGTAGACCAGGCTGCGTGGAAACGAGCCCACGACTTCACCCCTTCACATCCACACCTCACATTGAGATCGCCCAGCCAGATCAACGGCTTGGATCGCACAGCGTCGCTGGTGAGAAACCGACGGATGCGATCGTCCCACTCAGCTCGGCGGGGGAAGCTGGGAGAGTCTTTGGAGAAGCCATTGTTTGGCACGTAGGTGTTGAGGAGGCGCAGGGATGGAAACTCCAAAATGATCGCCCTCCCGTCTGCCTCGTGCTGCTGCCTCCGCTGTTTTCCCTGTTCCGTTGCTCCCACCTGCAGAGAGAGGGATGCGGGGAGGAGGATAGAGGAGTGAGGGAAGTTGAGAGAGTCTTTGGAGAAGCCATTGTTTGGCACGTCGGTGTTGAGGGGAGCGGAAGGATGGAAGAAGGAGAGGGAGAAGTCCACCTCACCTGCGTCTACCACACTGCACCACGCTGAACATACTCACATCGAGGGAAAAGGAGGTGGATAGGAGGTGGGGCAGCAAGGAGCGTTTGAGCAGCACGGCTGTGCCGGCATACTTGGTGGGGGCGAGGGACCACCACACCCTGTACAGGGAGAATGGTGGTGACGCTCTCTACCTGCGTGTACCGCACTGCACCGCACTAAACTGTACTGAACCGCAGTGAACTCACATCCAAGGAAAAGGAGGCGGAGAGGAGGTGAGGCATCTGGGAGCGCTTGAGCAGCATGACTGTGCCGGCATACTTGGTGGGGGCGAGGGACCACCACACCTGGTACAGGGAGAATGGCAACGACGCTCTCTACCTGCTTGCTGCGCACTGCACCACACTGAACCGCACTGAACTCACTCACGTCAAGGGAGAAGGAGGCGGAGAGGAGGCGGGGCAGCAGGGAGCGTTTGAGCAGCATGGCTGTGCCGGCATACTTGGTGGGGGCGAGGGACCACCACACCCGGTACAGGGAGAACGGTGGTGATGCCAGTGCATGCTGCATAAACTGACATGGGGAAGACGGGGAGAGAGAGGCGGAGGGAGGGATAGAGGGAGAGAGGGAGAGGGGGAGAGGGGTAAAGAACCAGAATTCAGTTATAGAAGGACTTCAAGCTGAACTATAGCTCAGAGGGTGTGAAGACTGTAAGTGAATAAGACTTTATTTTCCACTTCTTCTCACAGCTCTCCATTCTCTCCAAAATCCCCTGGTCCATATTTAATCTTTCCCCCCTTTCCCTTTCACCCCTCACCTCTCCTTCTCTCCCCTCCCCTTCTCCCCCCCCGTCCCCTTTCACCCCTCTCTCTGCTCAACCCACCTGCCTCTCCTCCCGGGCTTGCTTCGTGTCATCCTTGAGCTCTGATTGGTTGAGAGGCCCGCCCTTCCGCCCTGCTGCTGGCATGCGCACCTCCTGCGCCCCAGATGGGGGCGAGGGAGGGGGAAAGGGGAAGGGGGGAAGGGAGGGGGACGGGGAAGGTGGTAAGGGAAGGGGGAGGGGGAAAGGGGGAAGTGGGGAAGGGTAAGGGGAGGGGGAAAGGGGGAAGTGGGGAAGGGAAAGGGGGAGGGGGAAATGGTGGAAGAGTAGGCAGGGAAATAGGGGGAAAAAGGGGGAGGGGTTCAAGAGAAAGTGATGCGACCTCTAAACCTATCAGTACAGTCCTGTTGAGCCATGATGATTCACGACTTGATGAGGGCGACAATTCAAGTTGACGCCTTCAACAGTCAGTACAAATTTTGAAGACTTTTGAGTCGACTCAACAGTCACGTCGAGTCATGTTTATTCCTTTCACCAGCCAGCTGGAGATTCTTGAGGACTTGAGTTTTAATTTGAGAATTCTAAAAAACAACCTGAACAGTAGTGATCATTCACGTTAATGCCTTCAACAGTCAGCAGCATTCCAGCTGAAAGCACCTGATTCTCCTTTCTTTGATTGACTCTGCTCTAACTCAACCACCTGACTCACTCTGCTGCAATCACCTGACTCGCTCTGCTGCAATCACCTGACTCGCTCTGCTGCAATCACCTGACTCGCTCTGCTGCAATCACCTGACTCGCTCTGCTGCAATCACCTGACTCGCTCTGCTGCAATCACCTGGATGGCAATGACATCAGGCGAGTGCTTGCAGATAAAGCCAACCAACTCCGCCCGGTTGTGTCTCAGTCGCAGCAGGAAACTGTTGGCGTTCCAAGACATTATTCTGGAGAGGAGGGTGGGTAGGTTTAGAGGGGAGGAACAGGGGATGGGTAGGGGAAGTGATTGAAGTTTTGAGGCGGCTCAAGAATCAGTCGGAGCAGGAAACTGTTGGCTCTCCAAAACACAATTCTGGGAAGCCGGGTGTGGGGAGAAGAGAGGAGGGGGGAGAGGGGGGGGGGGGGGGGGGGGGGAGGAGTGTTTGGAGGGGAAAGGGGGAGAAGAAGCGGGGAATGGGGAAAGGGGTGGTGGGGGAGGAGGAATGAGTGTGGGGTTTATGAGGGGGGGAGTGTGAAAATGCTTCGCACTTGCGAAGAAGCCAAGACGTGAATGCAAGCAGGTCAAGTCCCCGCACCTCAATGGCTCTTGATGAGCAACCGATTCTTCTTGACTTTTCAGTCAACTCAAACGCCAAAATCACTTTGAAATCTCGCGGTTGCATGCCAGTCAAGTCCCCTCCCCGCACCTCAATGTCTCTTGATGGGCAACCGAATCTTCTTGCACGCGCTCGCCGCCCTTTGCGGATTGCCGTTGCTCACCCTCATATCCAGACTCCTGTTGCGCCTTCCTTTGCTCTCTTCTTTGCTCCCCTCCTTCCCCTCCTTGCTCCCCTGCTTTCTCCCATGAATTCCTCTCGATAGAAGCTGCCTCGCTTGGGTTATTGTGATCCACACCTCCAAACGGTGCTGCTACTCCGACGCCAAGTCGACCTTCACAACCAGTCTCTCTCTGCATTCTCATTACGGTACCAATCGCGTCGCGACTGCTATCGTGATCGATTTTCGACGAAATTCTATCGCGAAAGGATTCGCGACAGTACTCCGCAGGGGATTCTTCCGCAGGACGTTTGACTCCTCCGGAAATTTCCCCCTCCCCTGCGCATTTCCCCCCAGCTCTGCGCCCGCCCGTCATTTCCCGGCCTTTCTCTGCCGTTCCCCCGTCCCTCTCCGCCATTCCGCCATCTTTCCCTTCCTCGATTGCTCTATGTCCTTCTGACGCGGTTGGGGTTCTTTCAGGAGCCGTTGCTTTGGCGACCGGCTTGAAGTAGCGTTTCATGGTGGGAACGGAAATAGCAGAACCAACGGTAAAATCGATAGCCCCAGGCAGGAAAAAAGCGAGTGGAATCTGTGTGTACTCTTTATTGAAGTTGCCCGCTACGTGCTCACACCTCATTCCAATAACGGATTCCCAACATAGGAGTTGGAGAGTGAATTTTGCACACAAGCTTTTACGACATTGAGGTTATCGTGCTTTGTTGTGTTCCTGTCACCTGTCACCGGAGTGGCGCGTAGTGCTGTCGCGTCCTCGCTATTGAGTAGCTGATCTGACCCCCACCTCGACGTTGAGTGGTTGAGTCAGATTTCACGGATGATCGTACGGTGACATGAGTGACGAATGCAGACAGTCTTTGGACTTGATTCGTTCTGCGAAATGTGGTTGCCAGTTTGGGCCAGCCGTTACAGAAACTTCCGGTAGAGTTGGAACTAAACGATGAACCTGATTGGGGCTGGTGTTTCGCTGACCAGATACCACCACCGTATTGGCCAGACGAACCTGTTGCTGATCTGGTGCATTGAACTGACACCACGAAACAGCGCGATTGCCAGAGCGCGTGAAACCTGGTGCGTGCGTGTCACGTCGAGGTCCAGCGCATTCCCCCTTTTCCCCAACCACCATACAGAACTGTACCTCCCCGTGTCGTGTGGAGGCCCCTGCATTCTGCCTAGCGCACCTTCCCCGCATTGGCGCGGGGCCCGGCCGGAATGGATCGCATTGCAGGCTTCGATTGTGTGATCAGGCGCGCGCAGCACTCCCCTTGCCAACTGCCATCGCCTGAACACCTTCCCCGCTACCGTCGAGGCTGCGTTTGGGTGCCAGACTCAGCAGATCTCCGCCGTTCATATGCCCCTAGAGGCTGGCTGGTTTGTTCTGGCCGTCCGTCTGTTCCAGAGCCCACTTCGGTTCGGAACCAACCACATCCGCGATTTCGTATTTCCTTTCCGCTCCATCATCGAATTGTTCGTGCTAACGGCAATATAAGCGGTGGAGTGCATTAATGACTACATCTATCACGTTCCTGTACGTTTTGACGAGGTGCAACGGTGTGTTCGGAACATGAGCCAGCAGTGAGCAGGATGCCTATTATCCCACCAACAGTGCTCGTCTCCCCCGCCTGACTTCTGAGCAGCATACCTACGTCGCTGCCCCGCATTACACACCGGGCGAGGCAACTAATTGGGTGCGGCTGCTTAGCCTCGAAAATATGACACCTTGCTTCCATGCGATCGTGAGTACGCTCCTTGGTTCCCATGCGTTCACTAACATGCTGCTCTCACCTCCACCAGTGCGAAGGAATGCTCACTTGCGATCTGGTTCTCTCCGAAGTTGTGTCCATGGCTAATGCATGCATTCATCAGTCGTGCGCGGCGATGATATTTTAGTTTGTGACGTTTGCGTTGACTAAATAACTTATTTGTAGCTCATAATCGCTCTGGAAGAGTGACACCGGAACTAAATAATTGCGTTTCTCCTATCACGGAAGCCGTCTCGTCGAAACTGTTATCGCAGACTGACTCAGAGATGCTAAGTCCACGCGGCCTTTATTAGCATGCTGCCGATCGTTGATACAGAAGGGCGACTCGGGAGTAGCCAGAGCTCTCCCACGCAATGAAAGATTAAGGTTAAATGACTACTGACATGATTCACGGCGTAGAACGCGTTTAGACCTACTACCGGGAGTAAAGGCTGATGGACAAAGATTCCGTGAAGCTCGAGGAGGAGGCAAATAGGCGGAAGTGCGCAGAGCAGCAGCCGCGGGAGCCTGATGTCAGGCTGACGTGGCTCAAGGAGGAGCGGAGATGCGGAGAGGACGGCGGAAGCGAGGAGGCGGAAGGGGAAGGGCACGAGTATGGGGATGAAGAGGAAGGGGAGAAAGAAGGGGACGGGGAGGATGAAAAGGAGGAAGGGGAAAGGGGGGAGATAAGGGACGGGAAAACAGAGAATGGGGAGAAAAGGGAGGACGGGGGTAAGGGGGAGGAGTGTGGGAGGGGGTATGGCGGAGTGCTGAAGGAAAGGGAGGAGGGAGAGGAGATGGAGGAGGGGGAGGAGGGGGAGGAGCGAGAGGAGGGGGAGGAAGGGGAAAGGGGCGAGCCGAGTGTGGTGGAAGCGCTGCGGGAGGAGGTGGAGATGGAGCGGATCCTGCGCGCATTGGCGGAGGATGGCATGAAGGTGCGGCGGATATTAAAACGGGGGTATGGCGGAGTGCGGGACGGGGTAAATGTCAAGACCGATTTACCCTTTTTTTCTTCTGATCGCCTCTCCCCCGCTCTCCCTCGTCGTCTCTCCCTTTCCTCGTTTCTCCATGCACAGGCAGTAGAGCAGCAGATGGAGAGGCTAAGGGACGAGGTCAGCAGGTACAAGGGGCAGCACCAGCGAGACACAGAGACGGTCAGTCGCTTCCTCCTCTCCCACAGAGACGGTCAGTCTCACAGAGACGGTCAGTCTCACAGAGACGGTCAGTCTCACAGAGACGGTCAGTCTCACAGAGACGGTCAGTCTCACAGAGACGGTCAGTCTCACAGAGACGGTCAGTCTCACAGCGACGGTCAGTCAGCTCTTGTGCGAGCGCCTCTTTTGCTTCTCTCCCTCCATTCTTCCTCTGCTCCTCTCACCACTGTTTCCCACTCATCTCCCCCCTTTCCCCCTCTCCCCTGCTTCCCCTTCTTCCCCCGTACCCCAGGTGTTTCAGCTGCAGTCTTCGGAGTGGCAAGCGTTGCAGGAGGTACAGGAGGAGCGGGAGCAGCGGAGGGAGTTAGAGACGTCCCTAATCTACCTCCACCACACGCTCCTGGAATTGCTACCGCCAGACCTCCTCACCGACCCGCCTGTCTTTCACACCTATACCCACCCTCCTATTTTCCCACCGGACCTCCTCTCGAACCTCTCAGAAACTCCGTCGCACCTTCTCACATCGGACGACCATGAAGACCCTTGTAACCCCCCTATGATTCCACCGGGCCTGCTCTCGAACCTTTCTGAAACCCCGTCGCACCTTCTCACAACGGACGGCCACGCACACCCCTGTGACCCTTCTGAGACGTCTCACAAGCTGCCAGACCTTTCGAAAACGCCATCACAGGTGGTGCTTCCATCCGATGGCCACGCGTACCCGTCTGCTCCTTTTGAGACGACTCAGGAGCCGTTGGATCTCCCTGAAACGCCTTCATCTCAAGCCCTCGCAGAGGACGTTTACGGCTCTTTTGTCCCTTCTGACCCTTCCCATTTCCCTCCATGCTCGTTGGCCTTAGATGATACTCCTTGCACTTCCCATAACGAGGGCTGCACTAACGAGGATACCACCAGCGAGGGCTGTGCCAAGGAGGCGAGTGGCAGCAGCGGTGTGCTGGAGTGTGGATGTGGCAAGTCGGGTTGTGCCACGCTTCTGGTGCCTCCGGAAGAGAGCAGCAGCGTGAGTGGTGCTGCAGGTGCCGCGAACGTTGCGTGTGGCAGCAGCAACAGCAGCAGCAGCGCCAGTACCGGTGCCAGCTCCAGCAGCAGTGCAAGCAGCACGCCGCCATTCGCGCCTGTCTCAGAGCACACCGCTTCTCCTCCGGCTCCCCTCGCCGCCCTCTCTCTCCCTCTCTTCGCCTCTCGCCTTCTACAGCTGCATATCGATTCACCCTCCGCACTCTCTCCCTCTCCTCCTGCTCCTTCGTCTGCTCCTGCTGCTCCTGCTGCCCCTCCTCTCCCTCCTGCTGCCTCTGAATCGGAGTCTGAATCTGCATCTGGGCCTGCGTCTCCATCCACCCCAAGGGCTCCAGTCGAGGCTCCTGCTTCTGCTCTACCTTTTGCTTCAGCTGAGGCGCTGCATGACTCTCCCGTTCTCAACCCGTCGGCCCCACCCGCCGCTACTGCTTCTTTTTCTTCTTCTTCTTCTTCTTCTTCTTTTTCTGCTTCTGTTGCTGCTACTTCTGCTGCTGGTGGCTGCTCTCCCCGCCATTCCACCACGTCGCCTACCCAGCAGCCATGCCTCCACTATCCCCCACCTTGCCTGCCATGCCTACCCCTCAAGGCTCTCCTCCTCTCCCGCTTCCTCCACCAGCCCTCCCCCCTCCCACCTGCTGCTGCTGCTTCTGCTGTAGCCTCATCTTCCACTACTGCTTCTGCTGCTGCTGCTGCTGGTTCTTCTATTTCTGCTGGTTCTGATCCTTCTGCGGCTTCTGCGGCAGCGGTGGCGGCATTGCTTGCCCCTGGGCTGACAGGCAGGCTGGTACGTTGTGGATGCACTCAAGCCTCGTCTTCTCCTGCTGATCCTGCTGCTCTTGCCGCTGCTGCTCCAGCGGTTGCTGCTGCTTCCCCTGCTGCTTCTGCTCCTGCTGCCCCTGCTCGGGCTGCTCCGCTGTTTTCTGCTGCCACTGCCGCTGCAATGGGGAGGGAGGGAGCAGGAAGTGTGGCAGCTGGGGCACAGACGGGAGCTGGGCAGAGGAGCCCGGGGGGTCGGGTAGGGCTGAGAGGAGAGGGGGACGGGGAGGAGGTGCATTGGGTGAGAGAGGGTTGGTTGAAGTTGAAGGTTGGTGGGGAGAGGGCAGGAGACCGAGACGGGGTCGAAAGGGTGGGACGGGGGATTGGGAGGAGGATCGGAGTGAGGACGGTAGGAAGAGAGAGGCCAAGGTTGGAGGAAGGAAAAGAGGTGGCAAGTGGGACGGGAGGGGGTTGTGGGAGGAGCGAGCAGCAGAGGATGCGGTGTGGACGATGTGAGGCTCTGGACGGGGCTAGGGTAGGAGTGGGGAGAGGAGGAGGGGCAGTGGAGGGGAGAGGGGTGGATGAGGGGGAGAAGACTGCGGTGCAGAGGGGTGGTAATGCTTCTATGTGTGTGTTGGGGACGACTTTTGAGGCGCCTCAAAAGAAGACTGCGGTGCAGGGTAATGCTTCTATGTGTGTGCTGGGGAATGCTACCGCCCTGCAACCTGCCCTTCCCAGGTCTACCTCCCCGAAACCTACCTTCCCCAAGTCTGCCCTTTCCGAATCTGCCCTCTCCAAATCTCCCCTCCCCGAAACCTCCGCCCATGAATCCGCTCTCCCCCCGTCGCTGTCCCCGCTGGTGCCGGTGCTGCTGCTGGCTCGCGTGGCGTGCCCGTGCTGCCAAGTTGAAGGGCTGCAGTGGTTGTGCGAGGGGTGCGGGGCCAAGGGGAGGTGGGACGGAGAGAGAAACGGGGGGACAGGGTATCGGGTGAAAAGGGTAGAGAAAGCGAGAGAGGAAGAGAAAGAGGAATGCAGAGAGGAGGAGAGCGAGGAGGAGAGGGAGAAGGAGGGAGGAAGAGACGGAAAAAGGGAGAGATTGGAGGAGTGGCAGGTGAAGGCGGTGAGAGGGGAGGAGTCAGGGGAGGAGTCAGGGAAGGAGTCAGGGGAGGAGTCAGGGGAGGAGAGCAACAAGGGGATTGACAGGAGTGGGGAGAGAGGAGGGTTAGGCTCGAATACCCAGAAACTCCGGTACAGGATAGGGGCGGGAATGAGAGGAAAGAGCGAGCAGGCTTTTGAGACGTCTGGAGACTCGAATACCACGAAACCCCAGAATGGGATAGGGGCAGGGATGAGAGGACAGAGCAGACAGGTTATCTCGGAGAAGCTTCCTGTGGAAGAAGGGAAGTGTGGGATGAGTAGGAAAGGGGGTAAGGGAGCAAAGGGAGGGAAGGGAGGGAAGGGAGGGTGGGATGAGGAGGGAGAGGAGGGAGGGAGGGGAGGTGGTTCTTGCTGCTGCTGTGATGACTGTGTTGGATTGTACCAGGCGTGGTGTGAGCAAGAGCACTGGCAGTCGCAGGCGCATGCGCATGCGCATGGGCATGGGCATGAGCAGGAGCATGGGCATGGGAGTTCGCATGGGAGTGTACATGGGATGGAGCATGGGGGTGGTGATGCGAACAAAGAGCGGCAGCGCCATCCGCATCACAATCAGTATCAGTTTACGCATCAGCAGTTTCCGCTGGGGCATCAGCAGCATAAGCAGCAGCAGCATCATCATTATCAGCAGCAGCATCCGTCTCATCAGTCCTGCTGCTGCAACCACGACCGACCACTTTCTTCTGACAGCCATGGTCCCCCAAGCCACTCTGACCATTCACACCCCCATGCAGGCCGTTCACACCCCCATGCAGACCATGCTGCATCCCATTCTGTCTGGACCCCACACCCATGGCACGCCACAAGCCAACCATTCTTAACAAATCCACCTCTACCGAACCAGTCTGCCCCGTACCAAGCAATACCGAACCAGCCTGCCCCGTACCAAGCTATACCGAACCAGCCTGCCCCGTATCAAGCTATACCAAACCAGCCTGCCCCGTATCAAGCTATACCGAACCAGCCTGCCCCGTACCAAGCAATACCGAACCATCCCATGGTGTACCAGGCGGGTCCGCACCAGCTGTTTCAAGCAGTGGCACAACAACCTGTCCTGCATGTGCCGATTGCACGCATTCCTGTGCCGTCCCACGCTGCTTCACTCCAGCCGCTCGCGTGCCCAGGTGCAGCATGCTCGCACCATTACCAGAAGCAGTATCAACAGCAGCAGTTGCAGCAGCAGCACCATCAGCCGCATCTTCATCACCATCATCAGCAGCAGTATGATCGTCAGCAGCATTATCTGCAGCACCATGACCAACAGCAGCACCTAGACCAGCACCATCAACAACACCTGCACTGTTGTCGCCAGATCCAGCAGCAGTCGCAGTATCCAGCTCAACCCACTGGCAGCACACACCTGAATCACGCACTAAATCCTCTTGGCGGAATTGCGGCCAAGACCAATAAGCTTGCGGGACAGGGTGGTGAGCATGAAAGGCATGTTCGGCAGCATGAGATGCACGATAACCATCCGCATGGAGAGCATGTGATGTATGGCAGCCATGAGGATCGGCAGCATAGTGGCCATAAGCATCGGGAGCATGTTATGCATGGTAGTCATGAGGATCGGCAGCATGAGGTGTTTAGTAGCCACCAGCATGGGGAGCATGTGATGTATGGTACCCATGAGGACCGGAAGCATGTGGCAGCGCAAGAATGGGATCCCAAAGGAGGCTTGGTTCTGCGCTTTGCTTCGTCTCCTGCCCTCCCGCACCTCCTCCCAGCTTCGCCGTCGTTCGATTATTGGAGCAGAGGTGGTGGGAGCAGCAGCAGCAGCAACAACAGCTTGGGAAGGCGACGGCCCTCTAGTAGCAGCAGCAGCAGCAGGTACAGCAGGCATTTGAGGAGGCCTAGCGAGTTTTCAGAGGGTGTATGTGTGCTGGAGGAGGATGAAGAGTATGAGGAGGAAGAGGATGAAGAGATGGTGGTTACTGGGGAAGACGAAGAAGAGAGTGTTGTTGCTACTGCTGCTGCCACTGTTGCTGGTGCTGGATCCTCATTGGCTGGTACTAAGCTTGACAGGTGGTGGAGCTGTGTCAGCAGCAGCAGTGAGTTTCATTCTGGTGCTGCAGGTGCTGCTGATGATGCATCTCCTGGGGGTGCCAGAACCACTGACCGAATGTGATTGTTGTTTAACAGTGTCAGGAGGACAAGACCTGTGGGAAGATTTGCTTCTAGTTGCTAGATGTGGTACTTGGTAGTATGCTAGTTAAGTTTGTCAGTAATATGTACCATAGTACGCATATGTAGGTGTATGGGAGGGTATGTGAAGGTAACGTATATGTAGGAATATGAATGGTAGATGCTGACTTCTCTTGGATGTTGTGTCCAGACTGGTGTGTCTGACACAATACATCGTAGCTGCGTATCCTACTTAGCTAGCAGACGATTCTTTCATACTGGCTTCCGACATCCACGTGCTCCTACTTTAGAGCTGAGACTTATTTCGACGAAGGTCTGATTCGATTCCTAGTGTGCGTTTATCATTTTCTAAATAACAATTCCAAGACGTCGGATGCATCACGCATTGCAGTTAAACGCGGTCTCAGCGTAGACGTAGATGGCTTCATGGACCCCCATGTATGATTTAAATATTTAGACCCGAAAGTAGGGACGGTAGTCTGCACAATGTACTATAGTTTCACAAAATTTGAACAAGGGGTGCATCCACCATTTACTTTCTCTTGACGGGGTCGAAGGTGGACACGCCAACGATAGCTACGGCAATGCCTCCCAGGACAACACCGCCAGCAATCACGCTGTTGATCAGGTTCTGCAGTGAGGGGGACACGCCGGGCTGGGCAGCCTCAGCAATCTCGGGGATGACGGCAGCAGCGATCAGAGCAGCGGTGACGGGGAGAGCGATGTTCTGCTCCTTCTTCGCGCTGTCAAACAACGAAACGCAGGAAAAGGGGATTTTAGATAAGTAATCAACGTTATGCTAATAACCACACCAAGCTTTCACTAATTCAGTCATTACGACAAGCGAGGCCGAAGCGGATGTTGGCGGGACAGACCCGCTTAAGAGATAATAACGACGTTGAGTCGGCAGACCTACCTCATCACAACGCGGCTCTTGTTGCTGACGAGCATGGGGGTGGCGGACACCTTGCTCGACGCAACGCTCTTGTTAGCCAAGAGGCTGGTGGGAGCCACCACGGAGGCAGAGCAGACAGCGAAGGCAGCCATGGCTGAGAGTAGGCTTTGGCTGGATGAGCTGACTGCGGAGAGGAATCTGGTGTGGAAGCTAGAGTATACGGTGACCAGACAACAGATTGTCTTGAGAAGTGTAGGTGGGGAATCAAATTGGAGTTCACATCCGTCCCTGCACGAGGAGGGGGGAGCGGGTGTGTGGTGGGGAGATCAGCGAGGCTTACTGGGAGGCCAGCGATTTCCAGATTCCCGAAGAGGATAAGGCACGCTTGGCGTGATCTCATTCGTCCGTTGATTGGCTCGGCGTTACCTTTGCGATGGGCCTCGGGGTTCTCGGAGCCTGAAGTGGCGAATGGTGGTGACGAAATCTTGGGTTTTATGAGGTGATCGCGAGCGAAACAATCTGCTGTAACTGACAGGTGGATAGATGTTACTGATGACAGAAAGTTCTCATTCCGTAAATGAGCACTCACGTACGGTACAGATGTATGATGAGCACACGATAAACCCTTCTAACAATAAAAAATATTATCTTATTTGTTGATCATGCTTCATCACGCTCATTTGGGTTCGCAAGGCTCATGGACTTTTGAGATTCAGAAAAAACATGTAACCAGTTTTTCAGATATTAAAGCGATTGGCCCTTGCCATGTCATTTTCATAAACTATGGTAGCTCCAATACAGCTAGCGATAATCAATCGGGCACTGGTAATATGGTTCTTTGAAGCATCCACCAAACACAATATGCCATCCCCAGTAGTACAGCTCCACGTCCAGTGTATAGTGCCCTTGAAGGAAAGAAGACGCGTGGTGGTTGACTTGAATGCTCTCTCAATCTGCAAAATGAACTGTCGATGTTTGGAAAGCATGGACTGATACCGGTACTACCGTATTACTAGTCAATTCAGACACCCGTATTTCCTAAGAAGGACCCTCCTTCCTACCAAACATACTCCCTACGTTGAAGCTTGTAATTCACAGTTTATCACAAGCTTCCTTGAACCCGGCTTGCAAGTCTTCTGCTGCCTTCACCGACGCAAGCTTGAAGGTCACGGGCCTCGGGGACTTGTCAAGCGTGGTGCCGGCAGGAGCAGTGTCATCTTGCTGCAACCAAGCCCAGTGAATATAAGTCACATGACAGATACAAAACACAGCGTTACATACATGCATGCACAAGTGAAGTGTGCAAATGAGGTGGCGTGTTGAGTTCGGTGCATGGACTCAAGATTACAAGTACAGGACGGACACATGACTGCAGCACGGTAGTGAAATTGTTCTTCTTAAGCATGATCGAGAAAGACCACGTTGGAATGGTAGATAATTGCACACATGAGTGCATGACGTACACATGACTGCAGCACGGCGGTGATGTTGTTCTTCTTGAGCATGATGGTTATGCCCTTGTAGAGAGGTGCGTTCAGCATCACCTTGCCCACCTGCCCGTCGGAGAATGTACATGGAAGACCAAGAGACAAAGAAAACAAAAGGCAGGGGCATGTCTGAAATTTCCTTGTGCAGCGCTGCTACTTTGTGCACCCGCATGCATCACATCCGCATCACATCCGCATCACATCGACTCACCTCACCTCCCACCCCATCCCATCCCAGCCCATCCCATCCCGAATTAGTATCAATCGACCCAGCAATCCCAGCCACCTGTCTCCCAGAAAATCCCACTCACATCATTCCGGAACAGCACTGAGGCGCGCAAAGTCTCCCCTCCCCTGTGCACCTTCACCACGACCTAAAGCCTCGAGAGCACTGAGCACTGAGCACTCACAACTCCGGAACGCCCCCAATACCACCCCAGTTCCACCCTCCCTGCACTCACATCATTCCGGAACAGCACAGAGGCGCGCAGGGACGCCCCTCCCTTGTGCAGCTTCACAATCACTGCGCCGCTGCCCTTGTCCTTCCATGCCGGGCCGTCCTCGCCCTTGGCCTTCTGCACTCACTCAGAGAACACAAGAGTGAGGGATGCAAGAGACGATGTTTAAGTTGCCTCAAGGTTTGTGCCGCTGCCCATGCCGGGCGGTCCTCGCCCTTGGCCTTCTGCACTCACTCGGGGATGACATTCCAAGGGGGGAGATTGAGAGAGAACAGCAAGAAGGGGTAGTGAGTGGGTAAAAGGTTGATGCTTGAAGCAGCTCGAAAACTGTGCCGCTGCCCTTGTCCTTCCAGCCGGGCCCTCCTCGCCCTTCGCTGTGTTCACTCGGGGAATACAGCAAAGGGAGGGAGGTGCAGGAGGGAAGAGCAGAATGGCTGGGGTGTTTCTGAGATTTCTCAAAAGCACCCAGCATCTCAAGACGCACATGGCACATGGCACATGGCATATTCCCAGGTTCTCATAACGAGTTATGCATGCATCTACCTGCACGTATATCTTGGCGCGTGCCTCATGCACTATGTCCACCCCACTCTCCTCCGCTCTCTTCACTGACGGACTCCCAGGTCCCTGCTCTTCTTCCTCCTCCTCCTCTTCTGCCAGAAGCAAAGGACAGAGAGGGGGGGGCGAGGGAGGAATAGGGTTGGTACTGGGATGCGTTGTAAAGGGGAATGGAACCACGTCTCACTCCTCTGCTCTCATCACTGATGAACTCGCGGGTCCCTGCTCTTCCTCCTCCTCCTCTTCCTCTGACAGATGCAAAAGGGGGAAGAGGGGGAGGGAGGGAGAGTGGAAATGGGTTGGGATGGGTTGTTAACGAAGGGAAGAGTAGCACTTCTCACCCTGCTCTCTTCACTGATGAACTTGCAGGTCCCCGCTCGTCACTGATGTCCTCTGACAGACGCGAAGGAAGGGGAGGGGGATGGGTTGTTGTTACCGATGGGAAGAGTAGCACTTCTCACTCCTCTGCTCTCTTCGCTGATGGACTCGCAGGTACCTGCTCTTGCCTCTCAAACCGCTCACCTTTGGCTGTGCCACCAACAGCAATGGGTGCGAGCGGTGCTGCTGCAGGGAAGCCAAAAGAAGGGGAAGCGGATGGAGCAGCTGAGAAGGGCGCATAGAAAGTTTTGAGATGACTCACGACTCAACTTAGGCTGCCCCACCGACGGCAATGGGGGCGAGCGGTGCTGCTGCAGGGAAGCCAAATGCGGGGGACGCAGAGGGTGCAGCTGAGAAGGCGAATGGGCTGGCTGACGCTGAGAAGGGCGCAGAGAAGGACACTGCTGGCGCAGGGACTGCTGCAGCTGAAAAAGGCGAGGGGGCCGATGCTACCCCCACCAGCAGCAGCAGCAGCAGCAACTGGCGCCGCGCCAGCAGTGTGCCTCTACCCTGAGCCCCCTTGCAAAACCTTGCTTGCACACTCACCTTTGGCCGCCCCACCGACAGTGATGGGTGCGAGCGGTGCTGCTGCTGAGAATCCAAATGCGGGGGCCGCGGATGGTGCAGCCGAGAACGCGAAGGGACTGGCTGACGCTGAGAAGGGCGCAGAGAAGGACACTGCTGGCGCAGGCGCTGCCGCTGCTGTAGCAGGTTTAGCGGCTGTAGCGGCTGTAGCAGCTGTAGCGGCTGTAGCAGCAGGAGGAGATGAACCGGCACCAGGGGAAGATGAAGCAGCAGCAGTGGCAGCAGCAGGGGGAGAACCAGCAGCAGGAGCAGTAGGAGAGGACGTGAGTCCAAAGCTGACAGTGCCAGTGGTGGGAGAGGATGTTGAGGCAAGGCCGAAACTGGCAGTGCCGACAACGGCAGCAGGAGCAGCAGCGGGGGGATTGGAGGAGGAAGGTGAGAAGAAGCCGCTAGGAGGAGGGAAGGGGGGAGGGGCGCCAGGTCGAGGGGACCACATGTTGACTCCTACAGGCCCGAACATGGGAATGGAGGGAGCAGTGGCGGTGCTGATGGTGCCAGTGGTGGTGCCAGTGGTGAAGCTGGTGGGGATGTTGCCGGTCTTGGTGGTAGTGGTGTTGGCAGTGGTAGTGGTGGGTGCTGCTGCGGTTGCTGGGGAGAAGGCGAATGGGGATGTGGTGAACGCAGGGGCGTTGAATGAGGTTGTAGGCGCAGTTGGCGCGGTGGAAGGCGGTGGAGAGGCGGATTTGGACTTAATCCAGTCAACTACATCCTTATAGGTGGCCTGGGGAAGGGAGGGGGTGTGGGTTGCACAGCACGTGAGGGTGTGTGTGAGGTGTGTGTGAGGGTGTGTGAGGGTGTGTGAGGATGTATGTGAGTGCGTGCGTAAGTGTTTCCTGACTTGAGGTGCCTAAATGGGGTGTGTGAGGACGTGTGTGAGGGCGTGTGTGAAGGTGTGTGTGAAGGTGTGTGTGAAGGTGTGTGTGAAGGTGTGTGTGAAGGTGTGTGTGAAGGTGTGTGTGAAGGTGTGTGTGAAGGTGTGTTTGAAGGTGTGTGTGAAGGTGTGTGTGAAGGTGATGGTAGAGCAGAAAACAAAGCCTCATGAGTAAGATACCACTGTCAAAAATTACAGTCATAAGTAACCATAAGATAAGGGTGACCAATGCACTCAACGTTACCATGGCATTCCACGAAACACCACCATGACACAGCAGGTGTTACCATGGGGGTGGTGGCATGGTCAATGGAGTCATGCACCCAATCACCCCATCAATGCATGTGTTATGGTGTTACCATGAGGGTGGTGGCATGGTCAATGTAGTCATGCACCCCATCGCTCCACAGCTCGTCAATATGCTCCTTCTGCTGCTGCTGGACCCAACTGCACGTGCACATGCACATGCACATGCACATGCATACATGAGCGCAAAAGCACATGCACGTGTATTCACACACATGCATGCGTACTCACGCACATGCACATGCACACATGCATACATCCACACATGCACACGTGCACACGTGCATACATGCATACATGCACACATGCGTACATGCACACATGCACACATGCACAAACACGCACGTCCACCCATGTATACACGCGCGCATGCATGCGCACTCGAACACACTCACACCACAGGAATGCGCGATGCAAAAGGCAATGAGGTACACGAAAGTCAGCAGTGAAGCTAGCTTTGAGGCGCCTCAAAACTAGTCAGCAGTGAAGCAGCTGCGGTGATCTACAGGAAAAATGATAGGATACAGGCCTACCATGGTGGTATGGTAACCAACCTGGCGAATTTTGAGGCGCCTCAAAATACACCTCACTGCATTAGGACGGATACAGGCCTACCATGGTGGTATGGTAACCAACCTGGCGAACTGCATGTTGAGTGCGTCAACAGAACAGTGGTCAGACACTCCCATGGTCGGACCCAGCCAGGCTATACCCAACGAATTGGCGAATGCGGGTTACCGACCTGGCGAATTGCATGTTGAGTGCGCGGACAGTGTTCAGGCACTCCTGTGCTCGGGCCTGGTCGGGAAATGCAGCGGCTGAATCTGATGCTGACGCTGATGCTGCTGCTGCTGCTGCATTGTTGGCTGCAGCAGGGAACGGAGCAGTGGTGAAGGATGGGAAGCCGTTGAATCCGGTTGCTGGCGGTGCGTCTGCTGCTGCTCCTCTCTTCTGCTTGGTAAAAAAAAGAGAGAGTGGAGGAGTAAGGGGAGTAGGAGGAGTGACGGGAAGTGACGATTGGGACGAGGAGGGTGAGGAGGACGAGAAGGAAGAAGAGGAAGAGGGGGAGGTGCGGGACGAAGGGCGATGAAATGATGAATCAATGTGGCGAGGTAGGGGGAGGTGGTCACGGCTCGTCCAACCGATTCATATTATAATCATACAACGAGAAATTTCCGGCTTGATGTGAACGGATAAAAGAAGAATTTTTGTGGTACAAAAACGGTTCTTTTACGCCAGCAACATAACGAAAAGCATCCAGGCGAAGAGCATTCAAGCGGAAAGCCTTACAGCAGTATGTCGCCGGCTGAAAGGAGCCGGTTCCTCCTCCTCCTCCTCTTCCACGTATCGCCGTTTCCCACCCGCCATTAACCCCCTTCCGCTCACCAAGCCCCTCTACCTAAGTGAAAGAATTCTTGCTTTCCGAAAGCTCTCGGAGTAATCGAGAGATGCCTCAAAGTATACAGGTTTTGGAACCGTAGTGACCCAACTTCGATAGTCCCAAAACCTTGTCGCGGTCTCAAACAAGCCCCCACTCTTGAGAAAACCCAGCCTTTGCGTTTCAGAACGGGTTGCAGCTGCAGTTGAAGCGAGGCTGAAAGCAGGCTCGCGGAGGTAGGCGGGTAGACCGCCGTGTCTAGGCGGGCGAGTAGCCGCCGGATTCAGAAACGCTGTTGTGAAGAGGCAGGAGGGAGGGAGGGAGATTCAAGGCAGTCCACCGCCCTGCGAATGGAGAGATGCGACACAGTAGGAGTGCATTTGTAGCCACACCCCTTAATGTACCAATCAACTTGAAGATAATTCTGAAGTCCATTATGTTCATGACACATTCCCTTGCTCAGATGTAATTTTGTGAAAGGAAAATGGAACATTGAAGGTTGGTCTGGCGGCAGGTCAGGCTACATTCATACGCCACATCTTTCAGCGTGTTTTGATTGCAAGTTTGGTAAGCGGTTACCCTGAGTGAAACTACTCTCTGACACCCGTACGTTGTTCCATTAGGCACGCATAGGCTGCAAAACTGATGCACTAGATGGATGCACTAGATGGATCAACTAGATGGATCAATCGGCATGCTTAGCCCGTCCGCAACAAGCCAACAACATGCAATACAAAGCTCTCCCTTACCAGGCAGCTTCTCAGCAGCTTCCCAGCGCAGAGAACTACACAATCAGGCAATGAATGACCCATAACCCTCATGACTCATGACTCATGACCCATGACTAATGACTCATGACCCATGCGACCCCTGTGAGTGAGTGGTCACCTCCAGCAAAACTCAAGTCCACGGCTGCACGCTTAGTAACTTGAAGACCGAGAGGCTTTCACAAGTGTGTGAAGGGCGGGCTTGATGATTGAGTCACTCACACACGTGTGACAACACAAGGATGGGATGAAGGGCAGACGGGACGAATGGCAGGCTGAGGTACACTTGTGCGGGAGGAATCAAGGGCGGTGTACTTGTGACGTCAGAAGGGCGGGATGAAGGGCAGTATACAGACGTCAAACTCCGGAAGGTACCTCGGGCTTGCCCACACCACTCTCTCACTCTTCTCCCCGTCCCCTTCCTCCTCATCATCCTCACCCCCCTCATCCTCACCTCCAGCACCATCCTTCATATCCACATCCTGCATCCCACTCTCTCTCACCCTCCTCTCTTCCACATCCTTCCCCTCCAAACCCCCACCTTTCACCCCTCCATCTTTCACCCCCACACCACTCACACCTCCCAAATCTCCCTCCCCCCTCTCGCCCACCCCCGGCTCAGGCATGAGCCAGTCAGCAAAGCTCACTTCGGCTTCCATCTCAGCCAGCGCCTCAGCAAGCCCGTGTGTGGCGTTGTCGAATGCGAGGAACGTCTGATCCACCACCACTGGAGGCTCCGCCCTCCTCTTCTCACGCCCCTCCCTCTGCCTCTCCTTTCCCTCCCGCCCCTCCCTCCCTTCCTTCCCTTCCTTCCCCTCCCTCCCCTCCCGACCCTCTCGCCCCTCCCTCCCCTCCCTTCCCTCCTTCACTCCTCTCCGTTCGCCCTGTTTATGAAACCCGTTCTCCCCTGGTGTGGCAGGCATGCCTTTCGCTACAGCTGCAGCAGCAGAAGGAGCAGTGGCAGTGGCAGCAGCGGCGGCGGAAGCTGGGCTGAAGGCCTTCAGCCGGGAGTCGTTTTCAAGCTTATTTTGAGGATCCGGTCGGGTATCGTTTCGGGGTTCGTTTCCGGAGTCAATTCGGGTGTCGTTTCGTGGTTCGCCTGTGGGTCTAAGAGGGGACAGCACCTCAGCTGCAGACGTGTCACTAACACCAGGTCCCCCACTCAGCCCCGCCCCTCCACTCGCTGTGCTTCTGCTGCGGTGGTGCCGCCGCTTGCTGCTGCGGGATTTACCTGATACTGCCCCAGACATGCCCCCGCTTCTGCTGCTATCTGCAGGCGACGCCCCTGCTGCCCCTGTTCCTGCCCCTGATACAGCCCCTGCTGCTGCCGCCGCTGCCGCCGCCGCTGCTCCTGCTGCTCCTCCCCCCCCACCTGCCCCTAAACTGGCCGAACGCCCCATCCCTTTCAGAGCAGCAGCAGCAGCTGCAGCAGAGGCGCTCGGTCCAGCACCAGGCTCTGAGACACAGGAGGACGAGGCGAGGCGGGAAGGATGATGATGATGGTGGTGGTGGCGACGGTCCGAACCCTCACGAGTCCCATGCCCTCCCTTATCCCCATCCCCTGTGCCCTGCCCTGCTGCTTGTCCCTCCTTCCCGAGCCTCTGACTGCCATGACTGCCTTGACTGGGTTGACTACCTTGACTTCCCAAACTGCCCTGGCTGCTCTGGCTGCCGTGGCTGCGCTTGTGGCTCTGCAGCAGGTCGCCCACCCGCCCGTTCTGCCTCCCTGCTCCGTGCACCGGAGGTTTATCGCTTGGCGACACTCCGGCCCGCTTCTCTCCAACTCCACCCACGCCCGGCGCGGCAGCGGCTGCAGCAGGAGCCCCTTTCGCTCCCGTTCCTCTCAACTCCATTGCTGATTGGAGATCTCTCAGCTCCTCTAACCCCGGCTTCCCTCCAGATTTAGAAGGCTCTGATGTTGCTCTCACAGCAGCACCTGAGGAGACCTGCCCACCTTCTCCCTGCCGTCCCTTCCCCTCTCTCCTATCCTGCCTGTCCCTATCCGTCCCCTCAGTCTCCCTTCTCACCTCCCCCTCCCCGTTCCCCAGTCTCACGTCCTCTGATTTCAAATCGTGATGCCCCCGGCTGTCGGACGATCGCAGCCGTTGATCTTGACCTGTCCGGAGATCAGGGGTTGAGACTGACCCGTGCAGCGGCTTGGGCGCTCCTGGTGCTGAGCTCAGATCCCGAGCATTGCCGTCCGTTGATTTCGAGATCCGTTCGTTAAGGGTTGCGGAGGGGCGTGTGTCCTGCTGCTGAGACGCACGTGTATCCTGCTTTTCCTGCTTGCTGGAAGCACGTGCGTCAGCTGTGCTGGTGCCACGTGTATCCAATGCATTAACACCGCGTGGCTCCAACGCATTAGTGCCACGTGTGTCCAATGCGTTAACGCCACGTGTATCCGGGGGGGCAGGAGCGCGGGGAATGCCGTTCTCCCCGTTGGGCATGCCTTGAGGCACTGCCTTGCGGTCCTGCTTCTTGTCTGCGGCAGTGCGAGCAGGAGGGTAACATGGAGGGGCGGCAGGATGGAACAAAAACAGAATGAGGGTGGTTTTTGAGAATTCTCAAAAACCACGCTCCAAAAACAGAATGACTTTTGTCTCGAATCACACGTTGCCTTGAGGCACCGCCTTGCGGTCCTGCTTCTTGTCGGTGGCAGTGCGAGCAGGAGGGTAACATGGAGGGGCGGCAGGATGGAAGAGAAACAGAATGACTTTTGTCTTGACTCACACCTTGCCTTGAGGCACCACTGCCTTGCGGTCCGGCTTCTTGTCTGTGGCAGTGCGAGCAGGAGGGGACAGGGAGGAGAGGCATGATGGATCAGAAGTGGTAGATGGAACCTAAATGGGAACGAAATGACACCACGGGGTAGAATGAAAACAATCACATGGGAACGGGAAACTGGAATGGCAGAGCATAAGCAGTGGATGCGAGGTGGGGCATGGAAAGGCGGACCTTTATGCTTGTCTCTGTGCTTCTCGTCTCGCCGCTTCTCCTCCCTCCGCTTCTCCTTCTCTTTGTGTCGCTCCTCCTTCCTCTTCTCATCCTTATGCTTATCCTCCTTCTTCTTCTCATCTTTCCTTCTCTCCTCCTTATTCCCCTCTTTCCTCTCCTCCTTCCTCTTCTCTTCCTTTCCCTTCTCCTCCTTCCCCTCCTTCCCTTCCTTCCCTTCCTTCCCCTCTCCACTCGCCTTTTCCCGTTGCTCCTCCTCCTTCCCCACATCTTTCCGCAATTCACTCTTCTGCTTTTCGCCCTCACCCTTATCTTTCCCCGAACCCTGACCGTCATCCCCCCTGCCTTTGCCCTTCTCCTCCTCTTGAGACGTCTCAAGACCCAAACCCTCACCCTTCTCTCCCTTGCTCTTCTCCTCTTTCCGAGACGTCTCCAAACGCAAACCCTCCCCTTTCTCACCCTTCTCTTTCTCCCCGCCCTTCCCCTTATCCGTGTCCCCGCCCTTCCCCTTCTCCCCGCCCGCCCCCCTCTCCGTGTTCCCATCCTTCTCCTTGCGCGCCGAGTCTTCAGACGACTGCTTCCGGTGCTCCTTAGACTCCTTCTCCTTAGGCTCCTTTCCCTTTGATTCCTTAGAATCCCTGGGTTCTCTAGTTTCCTTGGGCTCTTTTGACTCCTTAGAACGCTTCTTCTCCTCCTTGCGCCGCTTCCGCTCCTCCTTGTCTTCCCCCTCGCCCCCTTCCCTATGCCGCTTCTTCTTCTTCTTTTTCTTATCCTTGTCTCGATCTTTATCTTTCCCCTCCGATCTCGTCTCCTGGTCGGCAGCAAAAGGCGGGAATGCAGGGTGGGCGGATATAGAGATATTTACTGATCAGGGAAGGGCAATAATATATTCACGATTTTTCAAGATTTAACATCGGGAAGAACGGGTCACAGGAACGCATTCCGATCCGTAGCGATATACCGCAGTCGGCAAACGGAGAGCGACGACGAGAACCCTAAACGCAATAATGAAAGATGCACGGACGACGGAGCGACTGGGAGTTAGAGCAATCGAGATTCTGTTCGAAACGGCATTCCGAAAAAGGGGAATGCGGCATTGCCTATCTCGAAAAAGATAATAGAAATTTCTGGAAACTCGGAACCACCTCTCAAGAAAAGAACCTCAACAGCTGCCACTCGCCTTGAACACGTCACCGCACCAGACCGTTCCGAACACCCCAGTTCTCTGAACCATTCCATCCGACAACGACCACGCTTTTCCCCATTCGTTCCTTGGGATTACCTTAGGGACGCTAAGAGACAAATCTGGGCGTGACTTTTTAAGTCCGACTCAGTATTCACCTCGGCTTCCACCATACGTCCCATTCCCCTTGGGATTACCTTAGGAACGCTTAGAGACGGATCCCGAGGCTTCTTCTGGAACCCCGGCGGGGGATACGGCCAGCAGCGAGACATGGCGATCGCAATCACCCAATCGGCGCCTGCTGGACGCTCGAAAGGTCACCGGCAGGAGGAACTCATCGGACGCGACGCGACGACCTGGAGCTGTTATGATAGGAGCTGCGATAGTAGACGATGCGATAGTAAGAGATTCGGCTGCCGTTGACTGGCGCTGCAGCGATCAGCGGCGGCACCCGTTGTGGATGCACTCGTAGCGGCTGCGACACGCCACTTCCCCAGTGAGCTTCAAAGGCGATGTGCTGCGGCTTTCGCCTGTTGCGGCTGCTGCGGTGCCGACGACAAAACGGCCGTGACGTATAATCGCTTCAGGACGCAGAATAATACCGCTTCGCCGAAAGTCGCCCAAAGGCTACCCGAGGATTATAGCACAATGTAGAATTAGGGCATTGCAGCAGCAATGACCAGCAAGCGTGATCACTCCCGTGGAAGGAGCGTGACGCGATGAAGCAGCGACGAATGAGGAGAGCGAAGCGTCGCCTACAGGCCGAATTTCCGGACCGCTCCCGAATGGACCTCGCGCGTTAACATCGAATCAGCAAATCAGCATCGAAGCAGAATCAAATCTGTAGTGAATCTATTTCCAAACCAGATCAGAACTGTCGCTACGATGAATTAATGGTGAGCCGCGTGACAACTTTCCCGCTTAGTATCCCGCTTGAGCGCTGAATACGTTTTCTCCCAGACGGCCAATTTAGGGCAAGGGTTCTCGCCTGACCTAAAAAGATCAGCCTAGCCTAATGCGAATTTGGTCAAGCACCGTCAGCCTTTCTTTCCCGATCAGCTCAGTTCGCGATGCGGTAGCGGCCGCCTTTGACAACGTTTTAAATCTCTTTCGTTGCCGCCGCTGCGCCGCCGCCTCCGCCGTTCCTGTAGGAAGACGGCGTGACGTGACGTAGCGCGTGGTTATTCAGAGGCCGTCTCGTCCTTAGCAGGCAGCTGAGCTGAAGCTCTAAGCTGTCTCGTGCTGGGAGAGAATCAAACCCTACAAAATGAAGCGGCTGGTTGGTCCTATTTATATTCCCAGTGCCAGCAGGCCAAGCATGTCACCTTGACAGGGGTGTAGCGCGTTGAATAGTGGTTAGACGAGGTTACGGACCAGGGCCTCAGATATCAGGATAAAAGATCCTGAATGCCCTGATTTCAGGATCTGCATGGTGCCCCAGGACTGACATTTCAGTATTTGTATTAAAACCGGCCGGACAAATCAGTATTTATAGGATTTTGCATCCTGTGATCTCAGGATTTAAAAGTACCCCGGACCCTGATCCATCAGGATCCTATTGGAAAGTACCCTGAATCAGCCTGTACCGCGAAAAAAAAATTGGTGACTAGATACAAAACTACCGACAGGGGTACAGCGCAACATGCGAGATGTGCGGTGGGAAATGATGAAATTTGCACCGCTGTACAGATTTTTTCGCGTGTGGCTGTACATCGACACATCAAAGTTGCCATCTCGACCAATCAGGACCCGCCGCAGCAAAGAACCCACGCGGCACGCGGCAACTTTGCCACGCTTAGCTTAAGCTCTCGGCCAACCTCGTCCACGCCTCAGGTCACGACGGGGCGCCATGGCGCATGATCGTGGAACTCTCCAGAAGGAGGGTTTTCGTTCCATCTCCTCCTCTTCTCGACAGCAGTTCCTCCACCTCCTGCTTCATCCCTTTGTTGATGCAGGGCGAAACGTGATAGAATCATTCTTGTTAGTGTTTTTCCGCCCGCATTTTGCAACCTCCTCGACATCGTATCTCACACGTTGTTTCCGAAGCTGAAATCGCCTATGGCTTCACCGTCGCCACAGGGCGTCGGTGAAGCCCCCGTCATGCCTGACGAACCCGAAATTTTCAGCCCTTAACGGGCCTCGATTTCCTTCGTTTTGCGCCAGTCGTTCCCTCGCCAATAGTACCCTCGACAGCGGATCCTCGTGTTCCTCCAGGAGCGTTACATCGATTGCGGTCAGCAATTCGGGGGCGGTGCAAGCGCAATGCTGTCGCCGTTTCTCGCGCGGCACAGCTCGCCGTGCAGCCGAGACGTGCGTGTGCAAGGCGTGGACGGTGATCATCAGCCATGCACTCACGAGTTCACTCTGCATGAGACAGCTCTAAAGGGCTACACCACCAGCGCGGGAGACCTCCAGTCGTGTGTGCGGACATGTCGGTCGTTCGCGACGGAGCTAATATACAATATTAACTTCCGACTCGGCAGTCTGTCAACCCTCAATTCTGCTAAGCTCTTCATGCCACGCACCTGGCCGCGGGGAAGAGAGGCGAGAGACGCGGAGTGCCTTGAGCATCTGGACGGCCTCTACACCATGTTCCACGCGCGCGAGCGAGAGGAAGTTCTACCAGATGAGTAAACCTCCCCCTCGTATTCGTCTTTGTGATTTGCTCCGGTATACGATTTTGTTGTATGTGTCAGTAAGCGTGATATGGCCCCTTGAGTTGCACTACGGTCCCTTGCTATCCATCACCCGTCCCTTCTGCCAGGTGTGACGAAGCGGGAGTGCAAAAGGGAGATGCGGACCTTCTTGTCGGTTCTATCCGGGGCGCCGAAGGAGGAGCAGGCCTTCCATGCGGGCCTGAAGGCGATGATGGCCACTGCAGACTGGCCGAGGAGCTACCCCAACCTGGAGCGGCTGTGGGTAGCAGTGGCGGTGTTGCCGATTAGCACTGTGGAGTGCGAACGCGGCTTCTCCCGACAAAACATCATCAAGAGTTGGCAGCGGACGGGATTGCACGACGGAAGCTTGGTGATCTCATGACGCTGAGCTTGCTGGAGTACGACGTCGAGTGGAAAGACCTTGTGGAGCTGTGGCGCAGCACGAAGAAGCGCTGCCCAACCAAGCGTAAGAGCAACCCCCCTCATGCCGTGAAGAAGCGTGGTGGTGGTGGTGGAGCTGATGGTGGCAAAGGCAACAGCATTGACAGGCAGCAGGAGAAGGCCGACCATGGCGGTGGCGGCCATGACTCAGATGATGATGTTGCAGGAGGATCTAGTGATGGTAATGATGTGCTGATGGAGGATGCTAGATGGATTTGAATAATGATTGTATTGTCAGAACGTGGAATGAAAATGTTTCACATACATAACAGTGTTGGTAAAGTAGTTTTTACCCCCTTGACAAATCAGGATTACACTAGTCTTTACCCTGACAGGGCATGATTACATTAGTATTTACCCTGTCAAAACAGGATCCTGAATGCACCTCAGCACTGATCAATCAGGGCGAATTTTTTTTTGGGGGGGAACTGCCCTGATGGGTCAGGGTCCCCTGAATCCTATCTGAGGCTCTGTTACGGACGGACCAACCAGCGGGTGGTTCTGCTGTTTCAAAAGTTCCGCCACATCCTCCTGGGCTGAGTCCTCCCCTCCCCCCCACGTATGCACACTCACCCAACGAACTAGCGCGCTCCTTCCCCCCGCTCCCCCCATTTCCCCCTTTCCCTGAACTGTTGTCTTCGAGAATCCCGAGGGTCAAATCGAGATTCGAGACCACCACCATCACATCATGAGGACAGGAGCTCGCGCGGGAACATGATGGGGCAGCCCATGGGGGAACCCTCCCGCCAAGTCTGGGTGGGCTCGCGCAGGCGGGAGAAATGTGAGGCAGTGCGGTGCGATGTGCTGTGCATGGCCTCGCCATCCAACAAGCTCCCCCCAAATAGGGATGGTCTTGAAAATTCTGAAGGCTGGGGCCCGGCGGGGCGGAAGCCCAATGAGGAACAGCGCAATGGGAACAGCTTCACCAGGCGCTGGTGGAACGTGGGAGCAAGGAACAGCGGGAACTGGCGGAGGGCCGAACCGAAAGCAGTTTCTGGAAGAGGACAGCGCCGTTTCGAGATTGCAGTTTGGCTCTTGACATGTTACGTTCGGTGAAGACAGTTGTTTCAGAGATGTTAATGGGTGCAGATGGTGCATCATGTCTCGATTTCATCGCGCTGCGCCAACAAAGATCACAGGTTCAAACTAAACACAAGGAAAAGCACCAAGGTCTGCCTTTGCGCAGGGTGCTTGCTGCTAGCCTTCACGAACCTCGAATCAGCGCGACCAATCGCGAGACATCGTTCGCCAGTGTTCGGCGCTCTCTTCACGCGACAACACCATCCCCCTCTACCCTGCTGGGACCCAGCCCCCGCTCCAGGCTACTGACTTTCCCTGACACAGGGAGGAGCGTGCTCGGTTTTCAGTTCATGTTTCACGTTTCCATTGGATATGCTACGTTCAAAAGCGGTAACACACGGTAACACGTGAACTTAGCTGGCACACCTAGGTTTGTGCAGCTAGACATTTTGACAAATTGCTAAAACCAGTCTATGTTCGACTACGTTAAAACAGCACGAATACCAGAGTGTAGAAGTTCCGCCTGAAAAGCAACCGTATAGGATATCGAAGAAGGCAGTTTTGAATTCATGGGTCAGACCAGCTAGCTACTACAACTAAACACCTACACCTCACCATCCTTTCTCGCCAGGATTCCTGGCACACATTTCGCGCATTGGCTTCTCGCGCCGCGAGGCGGGCTCATTGCAGATTCTAAGCAATTACGCCCGCTGCGTTATCAAGCTTCTGTCTCTAGGTTCGAATTTAACTGATTTGGATCGCCAGTTGGTACTTCGGTTGGTTCTCGGCCCGTCAGCGAAAGTCGGATGTACGGAGCCGTTGCATTGTCACCAGCTGCCCAATCCGGGAGACTGCTGATCTCCGCGAATCCCGCATGTTATTCCGCAGGATACCTGAACAGCTTACGAATCGAAACCACCGCGTTGGTGGGTGGATTTGCGAAAAGGTGTCAAACGGTAACCCGATCGTCCAGGAGTAATATCTCATTTCGCTTATCGTCGCACACCCATTTGTTCCCGAATCGGCTCTCATCTTGTGAACACCTTGGTAGAAGAAACCAACGGCGCGCAGCACTCTCCTCTGCGCTTGGTTGCCACGTGTCAGCCATGGCGGATTCGAGGGCTCCATTAGCGGATGCTGACGTGGATATGGTAGACAATGTCCAAGCGGATCAGCCAAACCTTCAGGGCGACGCGGACGTGGCCCTATCCAACGGTCACGATCCCGAGATTGTGAAATCCGAGGAGGATAAGAAGGCGTACCGCATGGTGACGCTCCCGAATGGGTTAATTACCCTGTTAATTTACGACCCTGAGATTGCCGCGTCAGGGGATGACGATGAGGATGATGATGAGGAGGAGGATGAGGAGGATGAGATAGAGAGTGAGGAGAGCGATGAGGAGATGAGTGTTGCTGAGGCTGAGGGAAGCGGAGATGGGACAAAAAGCAGCGGAAAGGGGAAGGGGGGGAAGGGGGAAAAGGGGGGTAAGGGTGGGAAGTCCAAGGGACGAAAAGGTGCTAGTAAAGGAGGGAAGGGAGGTGACGATAACGAGGGTGAGGATAGCGATTGGGAGACAGCGAGTGAGGAGGAGGAAGGGGAGGCGGAGGACGCAGGAACTGGCGGAACAGAGGAGAAAAAGGCAAAGGTGGTCGGAGGAAAGGGGGATGGTCAGGGTAAGGAAAGCGAGTCGGGGGCAGCAGGGGGTGAAACGACCGGGGAGGGGAAGGTGGGGGGAAAGCGGAAGAAAGTGGGGGGGATTAGGCTGGGTGGTGGTGGGTTGGGGCGGAAGGGGAAGGCTGGGGAGAAGAGTGCAGGGAAGGGGGCGGTGGGAAGAGGGGCGGAAGAGGGGGAAGAGGGTAGTGAGGAGGAGATGGAGAGTGGAGAGGAGGAGGAGGAATATGAGGGTGATGATGAGGAAGACGAGGATGATTCTGATGGGGATGATGATGAGGAGGATGATGACGATGATGATGACGATCAACCAGGAGCAGCAAAGAAGGTGCCGTAACTACCCTACACTTGTTGGTTCTTGGGAACTCTCAAATTCCAACTACTGTATACTTGCTCCAAATACTGATGGACCTTTCCATTTTTTCCCTATTCCCCAGCTTCGGTTGCCACCCCCACCCCACGTCTCCCCTCCCACTGTCCCTCCCTTCGTCCTTCTGCCTCTCTGCCTCTTGCTCGCTGCCTGCGCCTCTATTTTGATCCTCCTCTGTAACGCATCTTCCTGCTACCCCAGCTCTCCCAACCCCTGCCTCACCTCTCCCAACCCCTGCCTCACCTCTCCCCACCCCTGACTCACCCCTCCCCACCCCTGACTCACCCCTCCCCACCCCTGACTCACCCCTCCCCACCCCTGACTCACCCCTCCCCACCCATGCCTCCCCTCACCCCTCCCCACCCCACCTCTTCCAGCTGGCGGCGGCTGCCATGTGCGTGGGTGTGGGAAGCTTCTTGGATCCTCCCGATGCTCTTGGCCTCGCGCATTTCCTTGGTCAGTGAATGCACACTCGCCCAGAGTTTGGGCTTTAATGAAAGGTTTTTTTTTTTTTTTTTTTTTTTTTTTTTTTTTTTTTTTTTCGGTTGCCCTGCGGTGCTCTTGGTTGCCCTGCGGTGCTCTTGGCTGCCCTGCCTTGCTCCCTGGAGAAGATTTTCACGGGCATTCTCAGATTCTCGAGCATAACCGATGGAATTTCTGAAGCGTGTTACATTTTCTCCTCTTCTTGCCACCCTCCCTCCCTCAATCCTGCCCGCCCTCTCTCCTTTATACAACAGAGCACATGCTCTTCATGGGCAGCGTCAAGTTCCCTGTCGAAAATGTTTTTACTTAGTTTTTGACGTTTCAGATTCTCTCTCCTCCCTCTGTCCCTCTCTTCTTCATACTGCAGAGCACATGCTCTTCATGGGCAGCGTCAAGTTCCCTGACGAGAACGAGGTGAGGCCACAAATCCTTTATTGTAACTTTCGAACCCTAATCGGGCCCTAGAGCAAGCTTTTCATGGTAAACCTTAGATTCGTATTCATATCTCCCCTCCTGGAGAGTCATGGGTTATTCTGTGCCACGCACCAGAGTGACACTTCTTGAACCCTGAACCCTAAACCTTCCTGACCCCTAAAACCCTGAACCCTGACTCGTGACCGTTGAACCATGTAAAGCACTGCTTCGTCGCTCACATACAGCATACCCTCCCCCTCTTCCCCCACTTTTTGTCTCCACCCATCCCCTTTCCATCTCTTCTTCCCCTCCCCCACCTGCGCATACATACACGCCCTTCCCTTGCAGTATGACCCATTTCTGAGGCGGCACGGCGGCGGATTTTGAGGCGCCTCAAAAGTGAGGTGCATTTTGAGGCGCCTCAAAAGTGAGGTGCATTTTGAGGCGCCTCAAAATTTTCGCCACTTCTTCCCCTCCCTCACCTGCGCATACATACACGCCCTTCCCTTGCCGTATGCCCCGTTTCTGAGGCGGGTTTTGAGACGTCTCAAATCACTTCTTCCCCTCCCCCACCTGCACATACATACACGCCCTTCCCTTGCAGTATGACCCGTTTCTGAGGCGGCATGGCGGTGGTTCGAATGCATTCACAGAGACAGAGTTCACGTGCTACCACTTTGGCGTCTCACACAAGTTGATATTTGAGGCGCCTAAAAAACAAGACACGGAGATGACGTGCTATCACTTTGGCGTTGCACCCACACCACATAGAGCAAACCCTTTTCTCCATTCTCCCTCCCTTTCCCCTCCCCCTCACACACACACCACTCCTTGCTTGCAGTACGACTCGTTTCTGAGGCGGCACGGTGGCGGCTCGAACGCGTTCACAGAAACAGAGTTCACGTGCTACCACTTTGACGTGGCACACAAGTACCTGCACCCTGCTCTCGACAGGTGAGCAGCTTCTGAAGTGCGTTCACAAGGTGAGCTTGGAGTGTGCACCACCAACTGCAATGCGTTCACAGAGACAGAGCTCACGTGCTACCACTTTGACGTCGCACACAAGTACCTGCACCCTGCTCTCGACAGGTGAGCAGCTTCTGAAGTGCGTTCACAAGGTGAGCTTGGAGTGTGCACCACCAACTGCAATGCGTTCACAGAGACAGAGCTCACGTGCTACCACTTTGACGTGGCACACAAGTACCTGCACCCTGCTCTCGACAGGTGAGCATCTTCTGAAGTGCGTTCACAAGGTGAGCTTGGAGTGTGCACCACCAACTGCAATGCGTTCACAGAGACAGACCTCACGTGCTACCACTTTGACGTCGCACACAAGTACCTGCACCCTGCTCTCGACAGGTGAGTGAGCCCCAGAGGCATCTGAAATGAGAAGGTGAGCTTCAGTTGCGCATCTCCACCTTCACTGCAATGTGTGCACAGAGACAGAGTCCACGTGCTACCACTTTGACGTGGCACGCAAGTACCTGCACCCTGCTCTCGACAGGTGAGTGAGCCCCAGAGGCATCTGAAATGAGAAGGTGAGCTTCAGTTGCGCATCTCCACCTTCACTGCAATGTGTGCACAGAGACAGAGTCCACGTGCTACCACTTTGACGTGGCACGCAAGTACCTGCACCCTGCTCTCGACAGGTGAGTGAGCCCCAGAGGCATCTGAAATGAGAAGGTGAGCTTCAGTTGCGCATCTCCACCTTCACTGCAATGTGTGCACAGAGACAGAGTCCACGTGCTACCACTTTGACGTGGCACGCAAGTACCTGCACCCTGCTCTCGACAGGTGAGTGAGCCCCAGAGGCATCTGAAATGAGAAGGTGAGCTTCAGTTGCGCATCTCCACCTTCACTGCAATGTGTGCACAGAGACAGAGTCCACGTGCTACCACTTTGACGTGGCACGCAAGTACCTGCACCCTGCTCTTGACAGGTGATAAGAGACCCTGCTCTTGACAGGTGATAAGAGACCCTGCTCTTGACAGGTGATAAGAGACCCTGCTCTTGACAGGTGATAAGAGACCCTGCTCTTGACAGGTGATAAGAGACCCTGCTCTTGACAGGTGATAAGAGACCCTGCTCTTGACAGGTGATAAGAGACCCTGCTCTTGACAGGTGATAAGAGACCCTGCTCTTGACAGGTGATAAGAGACCCTGCTCTTGACAGGTGATAAGAGACCCTGCTCTTGACAGGTGATAAGAGACCCTGCTCTTGACAGGTGATAAGAGACCCTGCTCTTGACAGGTGATAAGAGACCCTGCTCTTGACAGGTGATAAGAGACCCTGCTCTTGACAGGTGATAAGAGACCCTGCTCTTGACAGGTGATAAGAGACCCTGCTCTTGACAGGTGATAAGAGACCCTGCTCTTGACAGGTGATAAGAGACCCTGCTCTTGACAGGTGATAAGAGACCCTGCTCTTGACAGGTGATAAGAGACCCTGCTCTTGACAGGTGATAAGAGACCCTGCTCTTGACAGGTGATAAGAGACCCTGCTCTTGACAGGTGATAAGAGACCCTGCTCTTGACAGGTGATAAGAGACCCTGCTCTTGACAGGTGATAAGAGACCCTGCTCTTGACAGGTGATAAGAGACCCTGCTCTTGACAGGTGATAAGAGACCCTGCTCTTGACAGGTGATAAGAGACCCTGCTCTTGACAGGTGATAAGAGACCCTGCTCTTGACAGGTGATAAGAGACCCTGCTCTTGACAGGTGATAAGAGACCCTGCTCTTGACAGGTGATAAGAGACCCTGCTCTTGACAGGTGATAAGAGACCCACCCTTTGCTGGACCCCGCTTCCCCATCCTGGCCCATCGCACCCCTCTCATATCAGCTCTGCGCTGTTCTTTGGGCCGCCACTGGCTCCCCCCCCCGACCGACCCACACCCTTCCCTCCCTCCCTCCCTCCCTCCCTCCCTCCCTCCCTCCGTCCCTCCGTCCCCCCCTCCCTCCCCCCCCTCCCTCCCTCCCTCCCTCCCTCCCTCCCTCCCTCCCTCCCTCCCTCCCTCCCTCCCTCCCTCCCTCCCTCCCTCCCTCCCTCCCTCCCTCCCTTCCCCCTTTCAGGTTTGCGCAGTTCTTTGTGGCGCCGCTGGTGAAGGCAGATGCCATGGAGAGAGAGGTGCAGGCTGTGGACTCGGGTGAGTTGACCTCCGTTGACTTGTATTGACCCTTGATGTTTGTTTACTCTCAATGACTTGCGTTGACTTGCATTGACTTTGGTTGACTTGCGTTGACTCGATTCTGTCGATTCGTTTCATGTCTCTAACCTTGGCTCTAGTCCTTGTCCTGTGCGCGCACGCACAAGACCCCCCTCCTTCCCCCGGCCTACCCTCCTATTTCTGAGTCAACTAAAAAACGTTTCATGTCTCTAACCTTGCCTCTAGTCCTTGTCCTGTGCACGGACAAGATCTCCCTCCTTCCCCCGGCCTACCCGCCCCCTTCCCTCTCACCCTCATCTCCCCCCTCCTCCCTCCCAGAGTTCAACATAAGTCTGCAGAGCGATGTGTGTCGGGTGCAGCAGCTGCAGTGCTCCACGTGCGTGCAGCCCGACCACCCCTTCCGCAAGTTCTCCTGGGGCAACCGCAAGAGCCTCATAGACGACCCCGCCAAGCTTGGAGTGGACATGAGAGAGAGGCTGCTGCAGCTCTACTCACGGTTTTATACAGCCGGGGCGATGAGGCTGGTTGTGGTTGGGGGCGGTGAGTGCTGGTGTTTGAGGGTTGGTTGTGGTGCGGTGTGGTGTGGTTGTGCCACATGCAGCAGGTTCAGGTATTTGGGCATGTTGGAGCGGCTGCTGCAGGTTCTCCTGGGGCAACCGCAGGAGCCCCCTAGACGACCCGGCCAAGCTGGGAGTGGACATGCGGGAGCGGCTGCTGCAGCTCTACTCGCGGTTCTACACAGCCGGGGCGATGCGGCTGGTGGTGGTTGGGGGAGGTGAGTCCTTGTGTTTGGGTTTTGTGTGCGATCCCTTGTGGTTGTGTGCATGCAGCAGGCAGGTACAAGTGTGGACATGCTCGAGCGGCTGCTGCAGCTCTGTTCTCGGCTCTACAAAGCCGGGGCGATGCGGCTGGTCGTAGTGGGGGGAGGTGAGTGTGCGGATGCGTGTGCGTTTATGGGTCTGGGTGTGGGGGCTGAGACTCTTACCTCCCTTCTCCTCCCATCTCCCCCTCGCCCTTTCTCTCTCTCCATTCAATCCCACAGAGCCCCTGGACACGCTGGAGTCTTGGGTGAGGCAGCTCTTCTCGCCCATCCCTCCCGGGGGCACTCAGGGAACTAACTCCGTTATCTCCCGCTCTCATGCCACATACCCTTGCTCCTCTCCCACAGAGCCCCTGGACACGCTTGAGTCATGGGTGAGGCAGCTCTTCTCGCCCATCCCTCCCGGGGGCAGCGGCATTCACCCGCTGCTGCACCAGCTGTCCCCGCCTGCCACCTTCTCTGCGCCCTCCCAGGACTCTGAAATGCTGGGGCCTGGTGCTGGTGGTGCGTGGATAGGGGAGAAGCGCACAGGACTCTTACCTCCTTTTTCCTCCCATCTCTGCCCCTCTCTCTTTCGTCCTCTCCATGCTATTCACCAGAGCCCTTGGACACACTCGAGTTGTGGGTGAGGCAGCTCTTCTCGCCCATCCCCCCAGGCGGCAGCGGCATTCACCCGCTGCTGCACCAGCTGCCCCCGCCTGCCACCTTCTCTCCACCCTCCCAGGACTCGGAGATGCTGGGTCCTGGTGCTGCTGGGTTGGAGCAGGAGGAGGGGGGGGCAGGGGAAGTGGTGGGAGGTGATAATGGTAGCAGTGCTGCTGCTGCTGCTGCTGCTGCTGCTGCTGCTGGTGATGGTGATGGTGCTGCTGGTGCTGATGGTGGTGGTGCTGTGGCTGCTACAGCTAGGACGAAGGGACCGCTGGCGGCGGTGTTGGCAGGGAGCAGAGCAGCATCTGAGGTATCCACTGCCGCTACTGCTGGCACTGCTGCTACAGCCGCTACAGCCGCTACAGCTGTTGCTGTTCCTGGGATGCAGATGGGGACGACAGAGACAAGCGCAGCGAAAGGGGAGAAGGGGAAGGGAGACAAGGCGGAGGAGGCGGAGGTTGGGGATGGGGATGGGGGGCAGTGGAGGGGGGTGTGGGAGGCAGGGCGGCTGTATGAAGTGGCGAGTGTGAAGGAGCAGCAGCAGGTGTCGCTCATGT